TATATATATATAAAAACAAGAAAAATAAAATTACCATCTGGAGTGCTTTTTGAAGCTTTCAGAGATTTATGAGGATTTTCAGTTCTGTCAAATTCAGGTAATAGTTGTCTTTTAATTGGAGGCTCTCCTGGAACAAATTCCATATTTCAATTAAAAAAAAAATTCTCTCAAGTTCAGTTTCTCTCCCACTATAACACAGTAGCTGAACTTCTAAATTTAAAGAACATAGTATTTAAAGAGTTGTTTCAAACTTAAATTAGAAACTTTATAGACCACACTTCCTAAATTACAATATTTTCCTTCTAATACAGATTTTGTGTGCGCCATAATTTGGCTTATTCTGTTTAGTAATCAAAACAAAGAGAAGGATGTAAAATAGCAGAATGCAATTTTATCTAGGGTTCAGTTATATATATCATGCCTGATTCATATATCTTGATTATTTGAAATACAGGTTGAACCTCTCTAGTCCCGCACTCGCTGGTCCAGCAACATCCATGATCTAGCATGATTTTAGTTAGCCAGATGTCTACTTATTATGGGTGTGGCCAAGTTTCCTGCAAGCCAATACAGTTTGTTTATAGCCATCAGCCTGGCTCTTGATGTTCTGTGCTGTTATTTAGCTCTAATTTACCCTTAAATGCCTTTTAAGAGCCCAGTAAGCAGTGGAAGTGCTGGTAATGCTGTTACACAATATTGACCTTCCTGTGGTTCAGCAAATTCTCTAGTTCAGCACTGGACAGGTTCCGAGGGTGCCAGACTGGAGAGGTTCAAGCTATACTGTTACACTATATAAAATGTTTGACAAAAAACACTGCCAAAACTGAACATGATAAATAAGTTTCAATATAAAAAGTTAGGAATTTTTCAAAAATCTTTAAAGGTGACTATTGCAAGTATGACTGACATTATTTTAGGTACTGTTATATATCTTTATTCTTACCATAGTATTAGCAATTCATAAGGTAAAAGAGAAATGTTTCCTCATATCCTCCCAACTAAAAACCAATGTCAATTTTATAAAAAGCTGCTGCCTATCCAAACAATTAAAATACATTTAAACAAAAAGTGTTTACCTTTGATATGCCTTGTATTCGGGATGTATATTCCTATTTAATTAATCAACCATTTAATTGGTTAGCTTGGTCAGAGCTGCTCCTGCTTATAGCACATCCAAGCTCCCTGCTCATGATAGGCAGCAAGCTACTCCACCCACACTGGTTAACCAAAACTAGTAAGTATCATCCATTAAGGGTGATGCTTACCAGTTAACCATTCACATCCTTGCTCTGCATATCTATAAAGCAGCTTTCCAGCATGGCTAGCAATGTCAGTGCAACCTACGTGCAGTACTAGTGGGGAAAGATTAGCCTGTTTTTTCAGCAATGGAATTATCTATTTAGGGATAATAGCCCTTCTCAAGACTACACTAAATACTATCAAAAAATTCTTATCAAACCAGTTTAAATAGTAAAAAAAGTTTTTTAGAAACTCTTGATCCTAAAGATTTAATTTGCAAACTTTTTTCCTGCATGGTTCTATGATGTAACATTGCTGGAAGTGCTTTTGAAACTTCATACAGTAGCTACTCTGTCAGACTTTTTTTTTGCAACATGCCTGATTCACTCCATGGTAATATCTATGGGAGAGCATAAGCTACTAAAGACCTTGAAGAAGGGTAAGGGTTCCTGCTTGGAAGAGAGAGAAAGTGATTTAGCATTCCAGAAAATGGTCTACATGGCACTAGGTGCTTGCAATTTCCCTTTCATAGCCAAGACGGCAAGTCTACAGAAAACCTTAAAAGTAGCTTTGGAAAAGGTATGACTAAGGCAGATAGAGATGTCCTAATTTAGACATCCATTTAGGGGGCACATGCACCAGGGGAATCCCTATGAAATCCTGCTACAACTGAAAGATATTCTCTACTAATGAAACACTAAATAGTGAAGGTGGAAACTGTCCTTTTCCAGGATTGAATTCCCCTCAGAAAATTAGATTTTCATTGACAGATTTGCACTGCCCTGTTCCTAGGAAGAAGAGGTTACACCATTCTGGCCTATTAGGGTAAAAAGTGAGTCTTCCATAGCTTTCAGGTGACAGCTGCAGCTTTCATAAATATCAGTTAAAAAAATCTGCTGCTTTAGAAATATGCTAATTATTAACGTATGGTTTGTGCTTCATAAGAAGAGTCTTGCTAATGCTCCTTCTGAAATTAACCGATAAGTTATCAAGAAGAGTTTTGCCACTGAAATCAAGGACAGCAGGATCAGTCAGGCCTTATATCTAAAAGCAGCTTAACCAAATTATGTCAAAGTGTTCTAAACTATACAGAAATGTGACATTAAATGCACTTACTGGATTTTTTTTTAAAAAAAGGCACCTACCAAGTGAGGCTCTCTCTTCCATGTGTCTTTTCCCAGTTCTTATATTTAATGGACAGTTCTTATCAATTTTTCTACAAATAAAGAGGGATTTTTTGGTATCGTTTTCTATTCCAGAATTAGTGAATTTATCTTCCATAAAAGCTTTGGCACTTTCTACTGCTTCTGTTTCCAAGTATTCTTCTGAACTTTGGGAACATTTAAGATGAAACACATCCAGCTTTGTTTTAGTTGGAGTATTGCATGAAACAGCTTCAATTTCCATCCTAGTTAGGCTGTGATGCTCTTTTTTGAAAAGCTGAGTATCCTCTGCAAATGTAAAACTGTTTATTAGAGTTAGGTGTTCATCCTTCTCACTGCGAGGTACACACACAGGAATTTCAATATTGCATATGTTTTGTAAAGCCTTAATTTCAACAGGATAACTGTTTGTTAAATCAAGTTCTTCATTATGTGTATCCTGGATTTTGGGTTTTAAACAAACTGTATCTGTTGCTTTGTTTGCACCAGCATAATTAATAGAAGATTTTAAGGCTATAACAGGATCTTGTCTTGAACTAAGTCGATCTGCAAAGTGGTATTTGCTGTTATTGAACACCTGCTTCACTTTCTGAAAAGCATTTTCAGAAACTAGCACTCGCTTTCCACTTGCTGTATTGAATCCAAAAGTCGTTTTTGAAATCAGTTCAGGTTTTGGATCTCTTTTTTGAGATATTACTACTTCAGATTTTCTAAGTGCTGAAGTACTTCCTGGTCCAACAAACTTTACTCCTTGGTCCCCAACTGAAAATACATCATAATCACATTTCAGTTCTGATACACATTGTTGATCTGACAAATTATTTATTTCAGAAAAGAGACATCTAGCTTTCTTTAATGCATCTTCTGATAACTGTACAGGTTTGCCATTTGCTGTGCTAAAAACCCCATAATTACCTGTAGAAAAGTCTGAATGACGATGATTTAGTTTATTAGGAGATCTACATATGCCAGAAAATGTGTCATTCACCTGGAAGCATGCCATCTGATGACTTGGCTCAGACCCAATATCTGCCGATGTATTTATATCATGCTGCAGTGCTTGGCCATATTTATAGCTGTTCTCATTTTCATAGGGAAAATGGCTCATAGCTGAATTATATGTCTCACTCTTGGCTACCTCTGAAGAGTTAACACAAATAGGACACTTAGCACTGTCTAAGGTCTCAGAACCATTTGCTCCAATTTCATTTGTATTAGTTTCTGATTTAGTCTCGGTGTTCTGATTCATAGATTTATCACAGTTTTCTGTAAACATCTGTCGGACTCGCTTCAGTGCTTCATAGGAAACAGTGACTGTTTTACCTTTTGCTGTACTGAATGCAACTGGTACATCCTTAAATTTTGAATTAGAGCCTGACTCTTCAGTGGCCAAGATTTTCAAAACATTCTTGGCATCCAGAAATTTTAAAACACAGTTTTCCTTCACATAACTCTCATTTTCAAAAGTTTCTTCAGAATTAAGTAAGTTGTTTTTGTCTGAAATGAGACTCACTAGTGGCTGATCTTGGGAAACACTATCCATATTTTCTGAGAAGCAGTTCACATCATGACTTAAATCATTCAAATGTTGAAAGCCAGTCCCTTTACTATTACCCTTCAAATGAAAAGAACTTCTTTCTAAAATGTTCCTGTGAGTTAAGTCAAGAGAATCCTGATTTTTAACTTTGTCAGTCCCTACAGTTAAAATATTTTTCATATTTATGCACATGGGATGTTCTACAGACCTATATTTAAAAGAAGCATCAGATAGTCTTGCAGTAGTCTGGTCAGTATCAGAAACAATGGATGGACTTTTTGAGCCATAATTTTTTCTTGGTATATTTTCCAAATTTCCCTCTGCAATCAGCTTTCTTGCCTCAAATAAAGGTGTCTCACTTACAGAATGTTTTTTACCATTTCCAATATAAAAGTCTATATCTGACTTTCCAAATGCCACATCAACAGGCTTTTTGGAAAATGAGGTTTCTGAATGTTCTTCAGGTTCTCTGTGTAAATTAGAAGATAAACGTACCGCTACTGAAAGTTCTTTCACAGTTTCAACATCCTCTGGTTGCTTAATTAGATAATCATCTATCATCTTTTTACATGGATCATCAAGTTCTTTAGAAACAAGTTTACCTGTAAGGGTAAGCATTTCTTGATCATAATTGGGAGTGTTTTCGGCAAACTCCTCACAATCTTTGATAAAGTCTTTGTTACAAGGATGAAACTCAGAGTCCTCAAAATTACCAATATTATCCATATTTTCTGGGCAAACATTTTCTTCTGCAAAAAACTGTTTTGCTTTAGACAAAGATTCATCAGTAATTATAATTTTCTTGCCATTAGCAGTATGAAAACCATTGTTCTCTTCTATGTTTTTTCTTTCAAAATCTGTGTCTTGTTGGATGGAGATTTGTTGATGGCCAGAGCCTATTCTGGATTTGTTTTGGTTTACGTTAATGTTTCTTTTTCTAGAAGTAGCATTTCTTTCTTTCTTGTTTATACTATGTGTCATTTGGCTATTGGAGTTTGATGAAATATTATTCAGCTCTTTTTCTGTGCACGTTTCAAACAAATGGAATTTATCCAGTGGTGCTTGGGAGACTGATCTATTACTACTAGATGCAGTTCGAAAATCTACATTTTTTATCTTTTGCTCACTTTTACTAGGATCATCTGAAATATTTAAAGTTAATATTTCTTCAGTTTTAGACACTTCAGCCAAACATGTTAGGTCCGACAAACCTTCTTGTAAACTATACTGTGACTGAGTGTCACTCTCATGTAATTTTTTTGAGATGTTTAGACTCGGATTATTGTTTTCACTAGATGATAGACCATTTTCCATCTTGTATACAGAATATTTAATAACTCCTAAATTACTAATTTTGGTACTACTAGAAACACGGTCATTCTCACTAATATTTGTTGTATTTTCTCCCTGATTTTCTCCATAAATTTTCATAAATGTGTTGATATTTTCTTCATTATTTTTCAGTGTATTTTGGTATTCAATATTGGCATCTTTTACACTTTCTCCACAATAGCTGTCTCCTTCTGCCACACATCTGGAAACATCCCTTCTAGAAGTCTTATATCTGTCAGAATAATGACTTCTGGAATTAATCTCAGTAGGCTTAAACATATCATCATCATCAGCAGCAGCAGCATCCAGGTTACTGAACAATTTTGCAGCTCTGATCAAAGCCTCATTAGAAATATTTATTTTTTTGCCTCCAGCTGAACTAAACCCCGCAAAATTAGAAAAATTGTCCTGTGTAGATACCGAAAAACTTGAGACAAGAGGAATTTTATTTGCATTTCTGCATAAGTTAGTAGAGGTAAACTCTACACAGTTATTTTTCTGGAAAATCTCTCTCTCTTCATTTACATTACCCATCTCTGTTGACTCTTCATTTATGTCAGTGTGCTTACTAGAAGATTTGTCATTTACCCTTTGGGCTTCAGTTTCAGAAATGTAATCCAAATCAGTATCTTGCCACATAGCAGAAATATCCTTTAAATTAGTTGTTTCATTTTTATCTACACATCCAGACAGTTGAGAACTATTATTTTGCACCATATTACTTTGCTTTCTAAACTGTGTAAATTCAAACTGACTATTTGTTTCTTCCAGTATGTTAGAAAGTTCAGTAATTTCGGCTTCTTGGCTTGCTGTCAAAGTTTGGTTTAGTTGATGTGGTTGATTTCTATGCAAGCTTTGAAGAGATGAATCAGTGCTTTCAGGCACAATACTCTGTGCATTTTTAGATTCAATAAGACTTGCCTGTGAATCCAAACCATGGGAATAGTTAGTGTCCAATTTATTATTCACAATGTTAATATTTTTCTTTGTAATTTGATTTGAAATGTTTTTGATCCCTTCCCCGGAAAAGTCTTTAAGACACTCGTCTTCCATATCTTTGAACAACATTTTGCCTTTTGTAATGCTCTTTTCAGAGACTTTTATCTGCTTATTAGAAGCCGTTTGGAAGCCACCAAAGCATTTATTTAAGCATTGGCCATTAAAATTTGTGTCTCCTGACCATTTCTCTTTGTCTTCTGGATTTTCTTTTGACTTGATGTCTAAACATAAATGGTTTTTTGAATATAAATATTTATCTGATGTAACACGTTTAGAAGGAAACGTGATCACCTTCTTTACGAAATCTTTATCTTCTACATTAGGCTCTGGTGCTTTTGTAACAAAATCTGAGACTATCTGTTCGGGTCCAATTTTTAATGCAAGCTGCGGCAAGGTAGATTTATCAGAAATCACTGCTTGTAATGAACCGCAATTGTTGTGATCAAACAGTTTTTCACTACTTTCTATAGTTACCATGTTGTTGTTAGAAGGTGTTTGAAGATTATTGTCACCATTTTCAATTGACTCAGTTTCTTGATCAGCAACTATAACTTTTGAAAACTGAACTGTATCTTTTTTGCTCTCTCTGATTAATGTAGTAGTGCTTGAATTTTTATTTGACTGAATTATTAAAGGTGGCAGAGTTACAGTTTTCCATTCATCTGTTGGCAAAAGGCCTGTAGCATCATTTTCATCTTCAGATTTTGTCCTATTGCAACAAACACTATTGTGCTTATGTATGTCACAGTTAATTGAAGTATCATTGAAATAACGATTTTTCATAGATACTTGCTCCTGTTCTATTTCAACCAACTGTTCGTTATCACTAGATGGCTCTCCAAGTTGATTCTTAAAAGTCTGAAGTATAACAGTGTCATTATGTGGATTAACATTCCCATACATTTCCATCTCATCTTTCTTTGGCCACTGAACCACATGTTCTGTCCTAACAAAGTCCATTTCAGAATGCTTTGTTGCTCGGAGGCAAGCTGTAGCTATAACTTTATGCTCTACACTCAAAACATTGTTACTGTTTGAGGAAACTACTAAACATTCTTTCAGGGTATTGGATGTTTCAGAGCAGTCTAATGATGAAGCAGGTTGATGTTCTCTTCTGTTACTTTTTAATATATCCAGATGTATCATTTTGTTTTTCAAAGAACTATTAGGTGAATTATCTATTCTATCTGCTCTTGTGGCATATTTGCTCAATAGCATAAAGCTTTCCTCAGAATTTGACTTCAAAGACTTTCTCTCAGCAGAGGAAACCAAAAGATCTACAATGAAATGAAAAACATTGTAAAAGTTATACATGTCAATAAATAGAAGACACACTTATTCAGATGAACTTAAGTTAATTAACTTAGACCGTGAATATAACTTTGGCATCAATTCTATAAACATTTGTAATTGTATTACTATGAGTAGTCCTATTGATTTCAAGTGTACTTGCAGAATCAGGGCCTTATATGCCTGACTCATGGTCTTACAGACTTTACAATCAACAGAAATTAGTAGCCTTCAGTTAAAGTACCATGTACTATGATAACAAATTAAATAATGCTTTTGTTGAATAGAGAAATAGGTGTCTTATGAAGTCACAGCAGATAGGATTTTATCATAAAATCCTCATGAGGAGGAACCCTTAATTTCCCTAGCATGATCTAATTATTTTTTATAATGTTCACAGCTTTTTAAGATATATTACGTACATCACAACAAGTGTGCAACTTAAATTAACCCTGGAAAATTAAAAAAAAAGGTACCAGATGGAAATGCCTAGAGATTCAAGCCCTGTAATTATACAAGAAGGATGCAACGCTAGCATAATGTCCCCCATATTGTTCCACTAATGATCATCAGCCCTGATCTAGGGATGCTCTCTCTAGAATAGCCCATTTAGTCACCTCTGGTGACCCTGCAAAAACTATGTCAGCTCTGACAATTTATCTGAGGTTGAAACTTTTCCTCTAGAAACGAGACTGAGATCAGTACATTGCACATAAGCTAACCAGACTGTTTTCTAATGGTAATATCTGTCTGTCACTGATATCATCAAACCCCATTATCAATCTTTGGAATTACAGTTCCCTTCAGAACCAAATTTATCCACCTGAATAGTGAAGGAGAAGCGAGAGGTAAGTTTAAATAAAGAAACTTTACCCATTGAAAATAATTAAAAAGCATACCTTGATCATCATTACTGACCATATCAGGACTTTTAAAGGGACATGATTCAAATTCTAAACGAGATGATGCAGAATGAATAGAGGGACCCGCTTTTATTTCTTTCTTGACTTTTTCCTCTTGACGTGGGGAAGCATTGTTTATTGTATAAATAAATCTTTTTGATCTCTTTTTCAGGCTGGATAGCAAACTGGTGTTTTTCAAGCAGGATCTCACGGGGGTGCTTTCATTGTTTGTTGACCATTTTGTGCCATCAGGATTACTTGGAATTGAATCATTACATAAAACTGGGTGAGAGGTAACATCAGTTATGGAAGATTTAGAAAGTTCCTTTAACTCTTTATGAAAGCAACTGGTACAGACTTCTGTATATCCTGTAAAGTTGGTATTTTCCATTAAGAATGAACTACAATCTAAAAAGTGCACTTCAGAAACCTTTTCAGCTGCACACACTTTCACTAAAGATGGGTCCTGAACACTCAGATCGACAGAATGCATTATACTCGTTTCAGAGGTTGAGTGCTTTTCATAATTTTTTGTTTCATCCTCCATGTGTTCTGACCAATTGATATTCAGCAGCTTTTCTGCTTTTATTAGACTTGAAGTGTTCAATAAAGACGTTTCAAAAGTACTTAAATTAGCATGTAATTTATTCTCAGATCTCTTCTTGTTACAGAAACTGGAAGGTGAATATTTATCACTTGTGGAATTTTTTTCTAGCTGTGTTACATCTAGACCAGATAAGTTTAGCTGAGACCATTCAGAAGTGAAAGTAGATGGCATATCTTCCTTTGTAAATTTTCTGTTCTCCAGCAGTTTTGGTATTCTGTTATTTGACATGTTAGTTGTAAATATTTCACACCTAGGAGAATCCAATTCCCTTTCACACACTGAGCTAGCATCTTTAAAGTTTCCCCTTATTTCATTAGTCTCTTGAAGTAAAATAGTTGCCATTTTATCAAAATGTGTCTTCTTAGTCCAGTTGGTCATTGTTACGTCTTGTAGATGTTCTCCACTAGTATGGCATACAGAAAGAACATGTTCTCCAGCATCTGGCATATCTATTCTCATTTCATTTCTCTCTCCATCTTCTAGAGAATTTTGTGTGATTTGGTTCCTACCTGACCTATTTTCCAAGCTATTCATCTCACCAAATGATCCATCTAAAATCTTCTCCAACTCTGTAAATAGTTAAAAAAACAAAATTATTGAAAATATCAGCTAAGAAACACTACTTTATTTCTATCATACAATATGAAGATTGTATTTATTCCTGATGTTTCCCTCTCAATACTGAACCTTTGGGAACTAGGGAGGCTAGTATAGGCATTCGGAATTGCAAATGAAGCCCAGGATTTAAATATCCCAGGCTTTATTTGCATGTTCCCGTCTGGTCGCCATTTTGAAATTCCACTAGCCCGAAGTAACTGCCCGCGGCTACACACGACAATGAAACAGTAATTCAAACTAAGTCCTTAGTTCGAATTAACTGTTACTCCTCCTGCAATAAGGTATAACAATTAGTTCAAATTACTGTTTCACTGCCACGTGTAGCCGTGGGCAGTTACTTCGGGCTAGTGGAATTTCAAAATGGCGACCAGACGGGAACATGCAAATAAAGCCTGGGATATTTAAATCCTGGGCTTCATTTGCAATTCCGAATGCCTATACTAGCCTCCCTAGTTCGAACTAAGGGGCTAGTATAGACATACCTTTGGAGATTTAGTGAGTTTCCACAGCAGCAGTGTTCTCCAGAGGCCAGTTTTTGCTGCTACAGATAGGAGAGAGGAGACAAGGGTCATTAGAGCAGATCTCTAGCCTTCTGTGGACTGCAGTGGATCAACAGATTTTGAGAATGGAACTCCTGGCTTCTCCTACTAGGGGAAGGAAAATGTGAATGTCCTGTAGACAGAAAAATGAGCAGAAAACTCCAAGGTTAAATGTCTGCATTTGCCTGCAATGTAAATTATACCATGCAAGGGTAATGAAGGTCCTACAATTAAATCCAACATTTTACATTCTCCCTCTCTTAGGGCTTACTGCTTGCAGTTAATGGAACAATAACATAATGGGAAATATGTACTCTCTCATGACCACTCTTAATACACAATATTATTGCATTAAAAAAAGAGATGAGGAAGATAACTATAGGTTTTTTTCTTATAACTATTTAGGAAATTTTAAAAAGACTGCAAATCATTGCTCTATGAATATTAGAAAAAACAGTTACAACAATATACTTTTTGTTTAGAGAAACATTACAGAGTAATAAAGCCAACTCTCTTTACTGGCAGGGATATTATCAGATATTAAAGAGAGCATATCTCTTTACTCCACCCACCACATGTGTTACTCGCAACTTTATTTAAAGTGGAAGTACTGGTTCTACTCCTACTTGTCAAACTAGGTGTGTCTATCAAACATTAATATTAAAAAATTGGACAGATGTGGAGTTTGGGATTTTTTTGCAGATTAATATACAAATAAATTTTAACAAAATATCTACATACATATTTTTCCTTTATTTTGCTGGATAAAGGATGTATTTTTCATAATTTTCCTATAACAAATACCTATATATTTTAACCATTATACTTTGAGTTAGTAGCAGTCTAGCAGCAACTAGCAAATAAGATTAATTTTTCATTTCTTATGAACATCATTTCCACTGATGGAGCTTCCAAAAGAATTAACAAGGGATCGTTTTACAATAAATATCCAACAATTTGTATATTTGATTATGATTCACACCCAAGTACTTTGAGAACTAGAAATGTCAATACAAGAAGTGCATAAAGATCACCTCTTTCACCACAATTTCTCCATCATGTATTGCCACTCAGTTTATATTTATTTATTTTAATCTAGTGCTGAAAGTGTCCTAAGTGGTTTTTTTTTTATTACTCCACATCTTTTTTTCCATATCAAAGCCCATTCTCCTGGGATAACTGTGTAGTAATAAGACTCCTTGACAATGTAGGTCTGGTGTGAGGCCTAAGGCCTGAACAACAGTCAATGCTTTGCTAACGTAAAGCAAAGCTAAGCTGTGAGCAAAAGGCAGGTCTTGCTCACAGAAATTTGGCAAGGACAGGGCTGCTGATACTGCAGAAATACACATACCTAGAAGGATGGTAACAGAACATCACGCTGCAGAAACAGCTTGGTACCAGTACGCTCCCTATAGATAATAGGGACATACCGACCCAGGTTCAGCACAGGGTCGGGATGACAACATGATGGAAAGTGATGTTTGACTCAAACTACTATGTACAAGGTAATGGGTGGTATCTAGGTACGTCGGGGGTGTCAGCCTAATATATTTAAGGGTGGCATCTTGATACGTAAGAAATTATGTGTAACTTGTTTGTGTCTGTGTATAAAAGTGTATCTCAGGGGCCGTCTTGTCCAGCCTAAGGGATAGCGGAAACGCCTGGCCGCTAACTGAGTGGAGTCCATTGCCAGGGCTTGCATATGTACTAGTGTAAACTGTTGACATCTGGTCTAGATGCCCAGGGTGCTAGAGACCATAAGCCATTTGACAATAAACCTGGTTCCAGTGCCTTCGCACCTTGTCTGATTTGTGGTCATTGGGGGCTCTTAGAAGTCTGCAATGTTGGCTACTTGCGCAGAGCCTGCACAGCATTCGGAGAGAGCACAAATATTCAGAGAGCGCACACGCACAGCACTCAGCCAAACGGTTATCAACATTAAAGGGAGCAGAACAGATGCCAGAGCACCACACCGGTGGCGGCATCTGACAAGAATCTGTAGATCCAAATCCTGTTTCCATGGTGTTATATATGGATATTAGGAAAGTTGTCTGCAAAGATGGATTCAATTAGAAAACAAAATTTATATATATTAAAAAGACTAATCAACTTTTTAAAGTTAACTTTCTCCATAAACCAATTTTACTAAAAGTTAAAAAACACAATACTTAATTTGAAAGGGCTGATACTATCAGAAAATGGAGGCAATTAAAATTGGTTTTGATTTCTAAAAAGGTTTCAGTATTCAGGTCCCTTTGGTGAACTACGTACTCTGTCGCTTTCCCAACCTTTGAAACCTCTGATTTGTAGTTTGGGTTAAAATCTGTATTTACAATGGATGGATGAACTAACAAATCGTATGTCTAGTTCTACCCCCAAAGTACCCTTTGCTAAAAACGATGTATACATTTCTGGATGGTGTAATTTTTTAAAATGTATCTATGGTAGCCTAATAATATTTACATAGCCATAATTTTCTGGCTCTGTTACAACCCAATGCATGGCTGGATTAGACTAGTTCCAGTCCACTACAGGTACTTCCTCAGTTACAAACATCCACACAAACAAAAGCTCAGATGCAGCCTCAGAGGAGCAGGCAAGAGGCACAGGCTGCATTAAGCAGTGAAAGTACTGGCTGGAAGACAATGGAGAAGCATGGGAGGTCGCACAGCCAGTGGTTGGAGAGAAGAGGCACTTGAAAGGGAAAACCTCTGCTCCTCTCCAGCCTCCAACGGCACAACCACCCTGTGTTCCTCCAGAATCCTCCAGCCTGGGCTCACACTACTTGCTGCCTCCACAAAAGCCTAACAAGTGAGTCGAATCCGGCTCGCCTTGGGCTTTGATCGGGCCTGCGAAGCAATTCCAGGCCCCGACCCTCCTCCCCCCGCGCAGCCGCTGGAGAGGAGGCAGCACTGGGACTGAGGCTCCTCAACAGAGCCAGCCCTGGAGGTGCTGATACTACAGCCACATGGCCCGGAGCCAGCCCTAGAGACTGGAGGCACCACTGCCACAGCACCTTTGGGGCCAGGCCCAGGCTGCATGGCCGTGGTAGCAGCACCTCCTGGGCGAGCCTAGGGACACGTGGCTGCAGTGCCTCTGGAAGCACCCCATGAGGCTGGGGCACCAGAGGAGTGAGGTGTCTCAGTTGGCGCCACATCGAGCGTTGGAGGGTTTAGGAAGAGGTTCTTTGTCTGTTACTTGTCCATGGTCCCCATCTGATTGTTTTGCGGGTCAGTGACCACCAACCTAAAAAAGATTCCCCGCTGATGCCATAAATAAAGAAAACATTGAAGTCTTTTGTGTTAGACATATTTTACATAATTGAAAATGAAGTTTGATAAACTAACAAGAAAGTTAAAATGCTTAACCCATTTAATAATTTAAACTAAAAAAACCTGTCCTTACTAGCTGCGGCTGGTTCAGAAAATAAGGTCACTATACCCAGCAGGATAGTTCTCAACCCCGCCCCTTCCGCCCAAGGTCCGCGGCCACTTCCGAAATTTGTGAAGTGGCCCCCTTTTCAAAATTATTGCCCACTCCTGCACTAGGAATACTGTTTTTGCTGTTAATGGTGAGAGCGAACATATAGCTAAAGGGCTCGAATGGTGGTCTGGTTAATTAGTCAAGAACCAGTTCCAGGTTCCACATGGGGGACAAGGGTCCACGTGGAAGGGATTAGATTTTGTATCCCTTTGAAAAAATCTCTTAGGACGGGGGTGTGCAAATAATGAAAAGCCATCTATTTACGGTTGAAAGCTGCCATAGCAGCAATGGGTACTCTTAAGGGAGGTGAGTACTAGACCCTATTCCTTGAGATGCACAATATAATCAAGGATGGTATGTAGGGAGGCAATGGATGGTTGGGTACCCCTCTCATGGCACCATGCTGTGAAATGTTTCCACTTGTGCAGGTAAATATTGTGGGTGATCTGTCATCGACTCTGATGTAATACTTCCTTCACAAGTCGTGATTCTCTCCTCTCCTTTTCCAAGAACCAGAAATAAACCATGCCGTGAGATGCAGTGTTTCTGGATGAGGATTTAGGAGAGCACCTGCTTTCTAAGACAGGAGGTCTAGGCGAATCAGAAGGGTGTAAGGAGGTCAACGAGACATTAGATAGAGATAGGGAAACCAAGTCTGTCTGACCCATGCTGCGGCTATCAGGATAACTTGGGCATTGTCTGACTGGATCTTTCTGATGACCCTCAGAATGAGGGGTATTGGAGGGAATGTGTAAAAGGGGGTGCATGCCACATGATTAGGAAAGCATCCCCTAGGAGTCTGGTACTCCTTGTGTTCTGGAGCAGTACTGGGGACACTTGGCATGCTAGTAAGTCGCAAAAAGATCTACTTCTGGAAATTCCCAGCGACTAAACATGTTCTGTATGACTTCTGCATGGATCTCCCACTT